TTGAGTTTCACTGACACATCTGTCTAGCCTTCCTTGTAGGGTGTTTCGTGTCATTAGCTCTATAAATAGAGTTTCTTAATTACGGATTAGAGTCTTCTATGTGTAAGGCCCAAATTAACCTTTTTAGACTCTTTCTTTTTGTTGAAAAGCTTTTAAGACTAAGGAAGATTTGTCTAATCCTAATTCGCCAAATTTTGGTATAGGTTTTTAATTTCCTCAAATTCACAACTAAAAAAACAAGAGTAGGTATTATGTGGATAACGTATTGTCCCATGGGCTGGCCCATTATTTTCCACAGTTGTTGAAAGTGAGACCCACTCTAGCGTTGTTTCCAAACTACCTTAGCTAATTCAATTTTGCTTATGGTCGTTTTGCCATGAAGTTGGAATGATAAATCACACATTAAAAACCAGATTGAGATCTGGTAGATGACATGATGGCTTTTTTATTGGAAGCATATTTGAACATTGTTTAAAAGCGGTTAGACGTGAACCGTCTTTTTGGTTACTAATCATATATATACTGATAGAACCAATGATTGAAACGAACAATTTTTAAAAATTATCAAATTTATCATTATAAAGTTATTATGAGATATTTGTAAAAAAAAATATAAAACAATGGTTATCAATCAAACCCATAGCTTCTTGAGAATTTGCAACCTATCTACACATATTACCTTAAATTAGTAATATATACAAACACTATTCTAAACACTATTGAAGTTCTGATATTCCGAATTAACCCCTACCAACATTAGCGTTAGACGATACGTGTAGTATATATGTAGACACATGTGTCAGAAGAGAAATCTTTTTGTATTCTAACCTATATTGTAACGTATACATACACTAGTACTATATATTGATATTGTAATTATTAGTTTAAAAAAAAATAAAAAATAAAGAATTTTAATAAACAAAACCATTAAATTGGGAAGGTAGAAGCATTGGTTGTCAAGAAAAATAGAGAGAGAAACTATCTTCACCGGAGAAATATCGGATATCAGATTTGGAAATTGATAGATATGACCGAGAAATAAGAAGAGTTTCGTAAACCTGTCGATACCAGCAAAGTAAATCTGATTTTTTTGTTCTTGCTTCAGATGTCGATGGAAGAGTTTCGTCCGTTACCGAACCGGATGTTCGGTACTAGACCCAAAATCAAAGACAAGATAAGTTAATCACC